GCTTCATTGTAGCTCTGGCTGTAGGTCAAGGGTCACACCCTGCAGAGCCAAACTTTGTGACAGTCTTAAGTACCCACTTGCGTTAATTTTGATTATATCTTTCTGTTTAGGAAAGGCAACACAACATCAAAATGCTCCCCACCACAGGGGTGGATTTAGGAGATGTGGGGTCCTAGGCAAAGGCAGAAAGGGGGCCCTGTAATGATCTTGGTTCTGTTGTTTTTCTTTAAGTTTTCTGTTTCAAGTTTAGCCAGGTTTTTCATTGATTTCTAGCTTTTTTGGTGTGTCTGGATTCACTTAAGTTGCTTAGGTTTTTCTGTCTGTCCCCTGCTGCCTCCTTGTTTTCTTTTCCCTTGGCTTCCTCGTCAGCTCTAATCACACCTGTTCCCTATCAGCTCATTAGCTCTACCTTTGTTCAGTCAGCCATAAATACACTCCCTCTGCAGTCCCTCTTTGCTGGTTCCTCGTCTTACCTTTCTTCACCCTGGCTCCTTGTTGGTTTTTCCCTGATGTCTCCATGGTTCTGGTTAGTGTTTGATTTTTATGTTGGATTTTTGGATTCCTGTTTTTGTTTAACATTTTTTAAGTTGGATTTTTGGATTCCTGTTTTTGTTTAACATTTTTTAAGTTGGATTTTTGGATTCCTGTTTTTGTTTAACATTTTTTAAGTTGGATTTTTGGATACCTGTTTTTGTTGCCTGATCTTGCAATAAACCCTCCAAGAATTCACCTCTGCCTCCCAGCTTCTGCTTTTGGGTCCAATCTAAAACTTTTAACCAAATCGTGACAGAAGGAACCAGCCAAGCATGGACCCAGCAGAACTCGGCACGGACGCTCTGAAGAGAATCTCTCTCACTCTTGTGAATGCTCTGGACTCCATATCTACTCTCAGTCCACCTTGGAAGAGGGTGAGTGCGGCTGACCAATTAAAGCCGATCTTCCTCTCTAACTCCTCACTTCTATCACCCCCAGTTTTGTCTGAGCTATTCGAGGAGTTGGAGTGGAACCGCCAAGCCGCCTTCGCCCAACTCTGCAATAGACCTCCACCACCCAAACCATCATTCCATCACCTTCCCATTCTGTTGTCTCTTACCTCCGATCCTGTTCCCCCACCATTACCAGCTGTTGGTCCTCCCCTGCCATCTTCTTCCTCCAGGCGTAAGCAACGCCGCCGGAGGAGGAAGACAACCACCTCTCCGGCGGATCAGCCTGACGCCTCCACTCCCTCTCCGGCGGATCAGCCTGACGCCTGCACTCCCTCTCCGGCGGGTCAGCCTGACGCCTGCACTCCCTCTCCGGCGGGTCAGCCTGACGCCTGCACTCCCTCTCCGGCGGGTCAGCCTGACGCCTGCTTCAATCCCACTCTTCTTCAGGTCAGTTCCCCCTATGGCCTTCGCCGTCACCTCCATGACCAGCAGTTAGCTCCTCAAGTTAGAGGTTTAAATTCAGTCACCATGATAACACCCACTGCAGTCAGAGCACCACATATTGAGGAGTCAGAGTTATGGGACTACTTTTATGGGCAAAGGGAGGATCTATTCCCTTTCCTTCGACCTCCATCGGTTCCCTGTCAGCCAGCACATCCAGAGCCCATTAGAGGGCCAGTTTCTCCAGCTCCAGAGCCCATTAGAGGGCCAGTTTCCCCAGCTCCAGTGCCTAGTAGAGGGCCAGATTCCCTAGCTCCAGAACCCATTGGCGGGCCGTTTAGCATAGCGCCAGAGACTCCTGAACCCATTAGCGGGCCGTTTAGCCTAGTGCCTGAGACCCCTGAGCCAGCCCTGAGCCGTCTTGAGTCAGCTCTGTTCCTTTTAGAGACCCCTGAGTTAGCTCTGTGCCGTCCAAAGACCCCTGAGCAGAACTTAAAGGAGGTGTCTGAATTCGAGGTATGTGGCTTTACGCCTCCTAGGACCTCTCTGCAGGCGCCCCAAGCCGCCCAGAGCCCTCTGCGGGCACTTCAAGCCACTTCAGAGACTGAACCTTTGCGGCCATGGGTGGTTTCCCCCATGCTGGATGTGGAGCCACAGTCGGCGGTCTCCCCTGTTCCTGAGGCGGAGCCGCAATCGGCGGGCTCCCCTGTTCCTGAGGCGGAGCCGCAATCGGCGGGCTCCCCTGTTCCTGAGGCGGAGCCGCAATCGGCGGGCTCCCCTGTTCCTGAGGCGGAGCCGCAATCGCCGGGCTCCCCTGTTCCTGAGGTGGAGCCGCAGTCGGCGGCCACCTCTGAGGCTGTTTCTGAGCCGCAGTCGGCGATCCCTCCTGCTCCGGTTCCAGAGCCGCAGTCCGCGTTCCCCTCTAAGACTGTTGCTAAGCTACTGAAATGGAGACGTCGTCCTCCAGTGGTCCCCCTTCGTCGCCTGACCCACGGCCGGCCACCTGAACGTCTGCCGTGCCCCCGGTCCCGCGGCCGCCCTCCAGAGACTCTGCCTCGCCTCCGGCCCCGCGGCCGCCCTCCAGAGACTCTGCCTCGCCTCCGGCCCCGCGGCCGCCCTCCAGAGACTCTGCCTCGCCTCCGGCCCCGCGGCCGCCCTCCAGAGACTCTGCCTCGCCTCCGGCCCCGCGGCCGCCCTCCAGAGACTCTGCCTCGCCTCCGGCCCTGCGGCCGCCCTCCAGAGACTTTCGATTGTCCTCGCCCACTCTGGATGGGTTGCGTTTTGTTTCTTGGACTGTTTTTGGCTTCTCGCCCTATTTCCTGGTTCCCCCTCCGCCCACCCTGGGTTGTTTTTTGGACATTAAAGGGGCGTCTGGAATCCGCCCTTAAGTGGGGGGCCCTGTAATGATCTTTGTTCTGTTGTTTTTCTTTAAGTTTTCTGTTTCAAGTTTAGCCAGGTTTTTCATTGATTTCTAGCTTTTTTGGTGTGTCTGGATTCACTTAAGTTGCTTAGGTTTTTCTGTCTGTCCCCTGCTGCCTCCTTGTGTTCTTTTCCCTTGGCTTCCTCGTCAGCTCTAATCACACCTGTTCCCTATCAGCTCATTAGCTCTACCTTTGTTCAGTCAGCCATAAATACACTCCCTCTGCAGTCCCTCTTTGCTGGTTCCTCGTCTTACCTTTCTTCACCCTGGCTCCTTGTTGGTTTTTCCCTGATGTCTCCATGGTTCTGGTTAGTGTTTGATTTTTAAGTTGGATTTTTGGATTCCTGTTTTTGTTGCCTGATCTTGCAATAAACCCTCCAAGAATTCACCTCTGCCTCCCAGCTTCTGCTTTTGGGTCCAATCTAAAACTTTTAACCAAATCGTGACAGGCCCTCTGAATTGAGAAGACAACACATAAAACAAAGCCATTATACAGATGCATACATTTTAATAGAATAGACATATTTGTTCTACCTTTTTGTCCCTTTCTTCTTGTCCCTTTCCTTGTTGTTTTCCTCTCTATGTTTTGTACTCAGCTGACTTTGCATTCTGCCTCAAAAGAAATAGAAGATTTTTTTTCCAAGCACTAAGCTCACTTAGCTGAGCTTAGTGCGAAGCTTTCCTGTTTTTCCAAAAAGGCAACGGCAAAAGTAAATAAAAAAAGTCCTTCTTTTCACTGTAAACAAGCCAAGATCTGCTTATCTTTTTTCCAGTTTTCATTTGTATGAGACACACTTAATATTTAATATTATAAGCATTCTGATGAATTTTAACAAAAGGATTTTTATCAGAAACATAATCAATGTGCACAAATATGGAATAGCTGTATTAACCATACGTGTAAACACTGTTTTGTGGGGCCCAAATGAACTTTTGGCCCTAAGGAACTGCCTAGTAGTGCCTAATGGTAAATACCCCCCTGCCTCTCCACAACATGTTTCTACATCCAAACAGTGTGTTCAGGGTGATATAATGTTCCCCACAGATTTTTTTTTTTTTTTGGAGTTAGGCTAAAATGTTACACTTTCTTACCTGATTATAGAGCACCTTCATTGCGATGTGTGGCGTCTCTAAATGAGACTTTGTGATTCTAAGACTTTCTTTTAGTCACTCTTCCATTCCATTTTTGCAGTGCAAATGGGTATTTCAGATCATAAAATGCTTTCTTTTCTGAACATGGCATATAATGTTTGCAGGTATGCCCTATTCTGTCAACTTTTTGACGAACAGTGTTCAATTAATGCAATGCACATTTTCAGATAAAAATAAAAATCAATTGGTAAATTGCATGATGTCATTCTCATTCATGTTAATAAGTGTGCACGAGCCTACTTCCTTTTGGTGAAAAACGCAAAAACAAAGTCCGAAAGTTTGTGGCTTAAACAAGGAATAAGTGGAAAACCATGAGCGGTTATAGGACAGGGGCCAAAGGGGGCCAGTGCCCCTATAGACCATGTCCTGGCCCCTGTTATGCCCCCTTGTACTGAAGACCTAATATCAGTTTTTCTTGAGTCCTAATTCAGATTTTATATAAAATTTTAACTTAAATTAAGTCAAAAATATGTAAAATGTATACATTTATGAATGTATATTGACTTAATAAGACATAGAGTTTTAATTAAACCTAATTGAATAGAAATTTCACTTCATGCAGCTATTTTAATATATTTGAATCCCTTGCTCTGTTTTTTATTTCATGCTTTTCTCCTCCTGGCCCCCTGGTACATTTTTGTCTAGAACCGCCACTGTGGAAAACATTAAGGGTTTCAGATTATGGAGTAAAATGGTTGTTAAGGTTGTTAATGGTTGTTGACGTTTTGCATTCCTCCTATTTATTCTATAGCGAAAGTTACAACTTAAGTAGTTTTTAAAAGGTAATGTCTGGACATAAGCACAGCAGATATCAAACAAACTCCAAACCACCTCCAGATGTTTACTGATCTCTAGAATCAGTTCTGCCAATGAGAAGACGGTTTCCAAGTGCGCGCGCACAGGCTAGTGCAGAAACAAATGAGACAGTCGTTTGATTTCTTTATTCAGGAGATTAATATAAGGTTAACGCGATGTTTCATATTCATTTTTCTTGTGCGGTTAGCATCAAACGTGAGAAAAGAAGCCCATAATTGATAGGCCATAAGTGGGTGTCGGTGGCCCCAGCCCGCCCCTTCTCTGTGCCACCAGAAGCTCCAGTCACGCTGCAAACTGCGACTTCCCAACTCCATCACATCCATTTTTTTTCCTACCACACCCCCGGGCTTTTCTTATTTAAAGGAGCGCTGCTTTTTATTTACACATCTCTGGAGGACAGACACTATCGCAGGAGCAGATCGGACACCTTTTTTGATCAACCTCTCCAATAGTGCTGCCCGCTGATGGCTCTACGTGTGGTGCTGCTGTGCTCTATGGTCGGACTTCTCCTTGGACAAGGTAGGTCACCTTTACGCAGCAGCCTGTGCTCATAAGGACTTATAATCAAGTCGGGAGAAAAGAACTTGAGACTGGCAGTGATGCGTAAAAAAAATAGCAGAATATTTGACAACTTCTCAAAAAATCAATTGTGAGATATAGTCACATCAAACAGATAGAGGCTTGAGGAAGTGATGATACGACTGGAGACTAGTTGGGGCATGTGATCAAAGCAGTGTTGGCTGCTTCAAATTGCTGCAGGTCTGCATGGAAAACATCCAGATTATTACTTTAATGTTACATCATGATAAAAAGATTAAAGTAGCCTACAGAAAGTGATCATGTTGTGACTGATCAGTTTTACTGCTTTTGGTTTAAATCTAGCCAAACTCCCTATTTCATTTAAAGAAATGACGTCAGATGAAGGGTGTTAAAATGCAACTTCACGGCAGGAGGGAAGCAACAACCCCCCATCCCCCTAGAAATCAAAGGCGGAGTGTCCTGGTGTGCTTTGATGTTAAATAGTAGAGTGTAACTAGTATGGAAGGGGATTAGGGCCACTGCAAAAATATAAGAAAGTTTGCTTTTTAAATTTATTTCAGTTTAATATGGGAAAAAAAGTCAAAAGTCTTTTCTGTGAAAAGAAAGTCTGAATTCTGAGATCAAAGTCAGAATTTTGAGAAAGGTAAGAATTCTGAGATGAAATTCAGGATTCTGACTTTTTTCCCACATTAAATGGAAATTATATTTAAAATCATGTTTTTTATTTTTTAATTTTTTTCAGTGGCCCTAATCTTCTTCCGTAAACTAGGGATTACTCACCAGGGGTTTTATGCTCCCCGGTCAAAATTGAAAACGTAATCCAACCTTAAAAGATAAACTATGAAATTTAGCAGTGTATTTCTGTTAAGTTCTTTGCAGTCTTTTTTATTTAAAAATAAAAGGCCATCATGAGAGAAACATACCTTTGAGTTATTTTAGATTTCAAATGAATTTAAAACAATATATGCTGAACTAAATATTAGCTTCCACAATCTCAAGAGCTTCTTAATTTATAATTTTTTGGATAAGCTCCTGGATAAATGGCATATTTCTATCACAAACTATAACTGCTAACAACTTTAGGACCTAACTTCCAAAGAAATCTAAATTAATCATTTAATAAGCAGTGTTACTGATTCAAAATAAATAATTTGTGTCCCATTTCTTATTCCTAGTTATTGTAAAGATCTTGCATGAAAATACAGTTTCCGTAGTAAAAGTAAAAGCCTTGTAATAAAAGTACAATATGATTTTTATCCATATTTCTATGTTTGAAGTTTAGTTTGTAACAGAAGCTTGTGCTTCAAACAGTTACTGTAAAACAGGATTTTGCAAATATTTTTGAAGAAATAAATATTTATTACGGAGAAGACAGTTTAAACTGTGCTGTAGCATCTTACATTAGCATGGTTAGCTTTTTAAAGATATTTATCACTTGATTGATTGACTTTCTTGATCGCACAGTGGAGAAATTTACCAGTTACATCTCTTAAAGAGTCTGAAAAGAAGAAGAAAGCGCCAAAGGAAGAAAAAGGTCATGGGATATATACAGTATATACAGGGCGTCCACCTATGACAGCTTTTTTTATTTATTCTTCTTTTTATTTTTATTTATTTACAGATACTTACCTAAACTCTTACTTTAAAACCCTTTATGTTCAAAGACAGACTATGGCTAAAATCTCAAATGGTAAACCACAACACCTACTCTTGATATGTTATGCCTTTCTGTTGTCTACTTTAAGCCCAGCTCCCTCTGATGCTCACAGGCAGAGGTGGTTCGAGACAGGGGCCAACAGGGGCCAACAGGGGCCTGTGCCCCTGTAGAACTAGTCCTGGCCCCTTTAAATGGCCCCTGTACTGAAAACACACATAACCAAATTTATGCAATTAGCATACGCAATCATTAAAATAAAAAAATATATATATATTTCAGATCTGTTTTTGCAGTGTAACTAAATCCATTTCTAATGATTATATACTATGAAAGAAGAGACTTCTACTAATTTGTACCTTGGACCAATTTAATATTTTGCCTGGAAAACTTACTTTAACAATTATTTAGAAATTGTAAGCAGTTTTAGCTTCATATGTACTCAGAAATGATCATGATCCGTTAGATCAAATGAGCAACCTGGGCTTTATGGCTCATTTATAATACCAAACACTTTTTTTTGTGTGTTTGTTATTATTTAGTTCTATTCCCCCCTAAAGAAGACATGGGCCCCATCATGGCCCCCTGATATATTTCGTCTAGAACCACCACTGCTCACTAGGCTTAAACAGACCCAAGACATGTCTTTCTGGAGACATAACTTTCTTAACTCAAAATGTAAAATAGAAAAATTATTTTGACATAGGATGAAGTAAGGAATGATTGTAACGGGTTCTGAGTGGCTTTTAAAAAAGCCATTTTTCATGCAGGAGCTGTCTCTGTCCAATGTTTTGTACACTGTCCTCCATGAGCTCCAGAGCTGGCCCTGTCCTCATCTCCCACTCACCTTAAAGGAATAGTACACCCAAAACATGATTAGCCTTCATTTTCTACTCACCCCCATGCTGAACAACACTCTGGAGTACTTTTTTGATATCTCAAATGCATCTGGAGATCTGGGAGGCTTCTTGTTGTCTGCTGATATTCAAATAATGGAGGTCTATGGCACCCGAGGCAGAAAGGTCCATAAAAGTCCACAAAAAACGTTTCAATATTCCTCCATACTGCTCGTCCAATGTATTCCAAGTGTCCTGAGTGGGTAGCATCCATAATTTACTCAAAACGAAGTCATTTAGAATGTTTTTAGAGCATAAACAGGAGTGTATAGGATTTCCTTAAAGCGCGTTCACGAGTCTACGGAAACCGCGGCAGACCAAACCAGATGAAAGTGCGCATTCAGCGTCTGCTCTGCCGATAATGCAAGCGTAGAAGAAGAAATGTGCTGTTTACCTGTGCAAAGAAAGAAACAACGAAAGAAAAATGTCTGAGGACTTCAGTGTTGAGGAAGAGCATGAGTTCTTTGCCGAGCTGAATGCGCACTTTCATCTGGTTTGGTCTGCCGCGGTTTCTGTAGCGTCGTGAACGCCCAGGCGCGCGCTTTTAGGAAATCCTATACACTACTGTTTATGCTCTAAAAACATTCTAAATGACTTCGTTTCGAGTAAATTCTGGAAGCTACCCACTCAGGACACTTGGAATACATTGGACGAGCAGTATGGAGGAATATTGACACGTTTTTTGTGGACTTTTATGGACCTTTCTGTCTCGGTCACCATAGACCTCCATTATTTGAATGTCAGCAGACAGCAAGAAGCCTCCCAGATCTCCAGATGCATTTGAGATATCAAAAAAGTACTCCAGAGTGTTGTTCAGCATGGGGGTGAGTAGAAAATGAAGGCTAATCATGTTTTGGGTGTACTATTCCTTTAAATTAGCTTCAGACGGAGATACTGCGTGCCGCCTCTGCCCAGCTCTAGTGCTCTCTGTAAAGTTTCTTGCGCTGATCTCCCAATGCTTCTGTCCAAGCTGGAGAACACCTCCTTGTCTCACCTCTGTGGTCCTCCTCCCTGAAGCGGGATAAGAGTTTTAAGTCCTGATCAGATGGAAACACCACAGGAAGCAACCATGATCCAGCTGTAACTCCTAGACTGTCTGGAGTTGTTGCATCTCTAGAGGATCTGGTAGACCCGGGCTGCAGATGCCGCTGTATGGCTTTTCAAAATGATTGAAGCACCGTGCTTGGTAAAATGTAAGTCTGCCTTGCTGAGCTAAAACTTGCAAGCAGCAGATAAAAGCTCCTTTTATTTGATGAAGCAAAGAGAGTAAATGGTCAACATTGGTCCTGTTTGAAATGTTTAAATTATGAAAAACATTTGAAAAAATAGATGAAATTACACTCATTGTTTTTTCTCTTTCTTATTTCTCTTACTTTTTAATACGGAAGAGGATTAGGGCCACTGGAAAAAAAAAAGTGAACTGATTTTTAAATTTGATTTCAGTTTAGTATGGGAAAAAGTCAGAATACTGACTTAAATCCCAGAACACTGATTTTTTCTCAGATTTCCGACTTTTTTCTCAGATTCCTGACTTTTTTCTCAGAATTCTGACTTTTTTCTCAGAATTCTGACTTTTTTCTCAGAATTCTGACTTTAATCTCAGAATTTTGGATCTTAATGTAGATGAGCACCATGAAGGAAGAGATGTGGGAGCCTCAGCTTCACTGACAAAGATGTGAGTTGTTTGAGGTGGCCAGTGACACATTGGTGGAAAATGACAGAATTAGGCAACTTTTTACGTGCCCGAGGAGTCCCCTCATTAATGGAGGAGCAAAAGGTCATTAAAACAAGAGAGCTAGTCTCTAAAACAGACATGGCTATGGCTTGATGCTAACATATTTATTAGCTGTCAGAATTCTGAGAAAAAAGTCAGAATTCTGAGATTAAAGTTAGAATTCTGAGAAAAAAGTCAATATTCTGACTTTCTTCCCCTATTAACCGAAAAAAAAAAAAAAAATCAGGTAACTTTTTTTTTTTTTTTCCTTCAGTGGCCCTAATCCTCTTCCGTATTTTAAAGCCCTCGTTACCTCACTATTGAAATCTTCAGTCAGCGATACAGTCATATGTAATTGTTAAAGTTGTTTTGAGGAGAAAAGGCATTTCAACAGCTTATTGTAGACACACAGGTGTGATTTTTTCTTCTTGGCATACAGCTGGACCATAGAGCTGTAGAAGGGCCACATGGTAATGCAGATGGCTTCTTAACTCACATAGGGGATTTTTTTTTTATCTTAAGTAGATGTTAATAGTTTGACATCAGTTTTGAAAGTTGTTATTTTATGCTCTGGAGTGAGGTATTGAAGGAGTTATTGCTTACCATCAATCTTTTCTGTGCAAAACTTTTATGATGATCCAGACAAAACAGAAAGTTCCCATTTAAAGTCTTAAGTGCAGCTTGGAAAGCAATCCAACTTTCTGTTTTGATCTGGTCCAGGAAAGCTACTCTGCCTGGCTCGCTAGACTGTGTTTACATGAGGAGTCTAGACTCAGACAGGCAGCGAGCTGCATTGCGTGCACAGAATGGCCCTCACTAGCAGAAGCTTCATCCAAAAAAAAAAACATCTTGTCATTCAGTGAGTCACAGGAAAACAGAAACTGGTCAGATCATTTCTGAGGCAGTTGCAGAATGGTGCAGTTGGTTTATCTCTGCTAAAAACGTGTATGTGTGAATTTATAGAATGTGTGGAATTTTAACTCAGCTTTTAAGGCTTTTAAGGTTTCTATACATGCACATATTTTTGAGTTTCAAACAACATAGTGGTAGTGTGGCAGGGAAGTGATACAGCTAATAGTGTCTATGCTAGTCTCTGGTTGCAGTTACAGTGTCTTTTAGCTATGTCAACAGAAAGGGGAAAACAATAAATTTTGAATGAATTGCCATCAGGTGCACGGCGCTAGTCAGAGACATCATTAGAGGTCTTAAAGGTCAAATAAAATTTCTTTCTTGACAACAACCACGCCATGTAGAACATATTCGTTAAGGAAAGTACGATATAACACAAGGAAAATTGCTGCAGATCATCTTTTTTAAATACATTTATAGCAGAGGAAGGTAGGTTGGGATTGTATTTATGATCCTCTCAGTATAACTATTTGTTTGCAGCAGTTTGAATATGCACTATTTTCTAGATGATCCCAAAGATGATGTTTTCATTAAAATGTAAGGCAGGCATGGGAGGGGAACATTAAAGTATCAGAAATTAAAGGACTAAACTAGTCTTAGAATTAGTGGACTGTGCGGATTCTTAGGCCAGATAAACCAACAAATTTAAATGCGCTCTCCTGTTTATATGATAAAGAGTGGCCAAATGTCAGTTCAAACCTGTGCTAATTATGCCTTGCTTGGCTCTGAGAAGCTTGTTATAAAGGTGGAACTTGTTTATTGGTTTTTTATAATATATTCTCTGTGTAAAAAGAGCAGTTTAGGTGTATAATCTCAGAGCCCAGAAGTAATGAAAGATGCATTCCTAAAAATGAGCTTGTCTCAACTTTTTATGGGCTTTAGACTACATTTGTCAATCTGATGTCTTTTTATTTTAATAACTGCTATTGACTGAACCTCATCAAAACTGCTGTAAATAATTAGTTTTGGTACACTCTCTTTGGATGTTGTGGGAGAAACAACAAATCTGTAAAACTGTGCAGTGCTAGTCCAGACACTTGTCCCCCAGCTTAATCTTACTTACTATCTAAACTTGCTCACTCCTGCCAGACTGCTCACAGCCGAGACAGCTCCAGGCAAAAGTCTTCATACAGGGTATTTCACAATAACTGTTCAGTGCATTTATTCACAAACCACAGCCAAGGCTCTGTTACCAAGAACCAATAAGTTATTCCGAAATAAATCAGTTTTGTTCTTTTTGTTGCCATCCATTGATTTGTGTTTAATAGCAGCCTGACATACTAATACTGGGTCCAGATATTACTAAAAAAAAAAGGTCTGTCTGCCATTTTTTTTTAAATAAAATTTGTCAAACAAACCACAAATGAGTACATTCAATATGATTTTGATGGTTGACTGTTTATAGAGCTGAGACGTTCCACATTTTCTAATCCACATTAATCACCACAGAACCGGCTGTGCTCCAGTCAGAAGGCCCTTCTGTGTCTGTAACAATATATTTTTCATTCCCTGTCTTAGGAAAAAAAAAAAACTTAATCTCTTAAAGACATTAAGAAAAATATTGCAATTCATCAATCTTGCAACGATTATCTATGACCCTCAGGACTAAGTCTATTTTTTTGAAGTAGACAAATATGAACCTTTAACACTTAATGAGGAATAACTGTTGTACAGCCTTTTAAGTAAACATAATTGTCAGCATACTGTATTCTAATTCAATTCAGTAAAGTTTATTTATGTAGCGCCAATTCACAATACGTCATCTCAAGGCACTTTACGGTTCACCAGATATTACAGCCAAACTGATTCAAAGTTTTCTAAGGAAAACCAGTTGATTGCATCGACTCTTTGACTCGAATGCAATCCCTCACACTGAGGATGCTTGTAGACTCCCTTTCAACAAGAAAAAACCTCCAGCAGAACCAGGCTCAGTGTGAGCGGCCATCTGCCGAGGCCGACTGGGGTTCAAGGAGACAGAAGCAGAGACACAAAAAGCAGCTGTAAAAGGCGTCCAGGAAACACACAGCCAGGCAAACGAGCTCCAAGCCAGCTCCCATGTCAGAGGATGAAGAGAGCACATCCAGTTAGTCACAGTCAGAGAGACAGGACTACACTGAAAAACAGGCAAAGCCCCAACATCTAGAAACAAAGGTGTTGATGGAAGCAGCACAGCTGATATTTCTCGGTATCACAGCCAAACAGGAACTGTTGAGGCAAAGCTAATATGAGAAAAAGCAAAGAGAGCAGAATGTTAGAGATTGAACTAACAGATTCTGCAGAGAATAGAGATAGAATGAAGCAGAATGATGAAAAAGGGGTCCCTATGTCCTCCATCAGTCAAATCCTATAGCAGCATAACTATAGAGATAGCTCAGGATAACACAAGCGTCTCTTACTATAAGCTTTATCAAAAAGGAAAGTTTTAAGCATACCCTTAAAAATAGATGTACATAACAAAATAGTGTTCATTAATTTTTAAGTTTTTTTTTTCCAGGCTGATTTTCAGCAGGGATGCTTGACCCTTTGATTTTATTGCAAGGAATTATTAAGGCCTAACGTAAAACATAGAGAGACTTTATGGACGTTAGGCTCACGACTATTAAGATTGCACATAAATGCACCATGCAAGCCCAATAAAAGCATGAATGATAAGTTTCTTATGGAAGGGCTGTCATCAGTGTATGACTTTACAAATGCTCCTCTGGTAGGATTTTTCCAAAAACTCAAGAAGAGTTAAAGCTGTTACAGTGGCTAATAGTGGTCTCACCTCATATTAAGCCATGAGGATTAAGCACATAATGGCTCTCCATGTGTGTAAAGGAAAGTGAGACCATTCTAGTGAATCTATGTAAACATCCCTGACCTGATGCCCCCCACCACGGAATTTAAACTTAAAAAATAGACAACTCCACATTAGGTATGTCACAAGTCTTCACTTTTTGATCCCAATTAAAGACAATCTACTCACATCATTGACAGCAATCATTCTTTATGAACTTTATAATATGCATCCCAACATGAGTTAATGATTAAAACTTCTGGTCCCACTAGAACCTTCATTTGGCAAGGTTCTAAACCCATGCAACCCAAGAAATAAAAAGTGACCTCCATGTTTTTTCACACTTAGTCAACATTTATTCATGTTTCCTACAGGAGAAGAGCAGATCTCATTAGACGACTGTTGTAAAGATGGCCAGAAGCATGCAAATGCTGACGAAGACTGTGCTTCCATCCCCCTCATTTCTGCTTCACCCACTTGCAGGTAAGAAGGTGCTTATTTGTTTTTAGCGGCTCAATTTATCTGACTTTAGAGGCACTGACAGACTCAGAGTTCACTCTGTCTTGAAAGGTCCTTTGTCACAATCTTTCACTTTGTATCATCTTTTACATAAGTTCTACTGGTCTTATCTCCTTAGTTTCTAAAAGGTATCTTGCAGTAATTTTTAGGATAAGATTTCCTAACTCCTGTAAACGTCTGAACACATCTTTCATTCTACATGAAACACTTATAGTGATGGGATAATGACATGTCTCCCTGTAACCTTATAGAGGGTGTTCTCTCACAGTTTGAAAGCCCCTGGGCCAGAGAGCTGTAACACGTATGGTAAATACACATGCAGTGGGGCAAAAAAAGTATTTAGTCAGCCACCAATAGTGCAAGTTCTCCCACTTAAAAAGATGAGAGAGGCCGGTAATTTTCATCATAGATATACCTCAACTATGAGAGACAAAATGAGAAAAAAAAAATCCAGAAAATCACATCGTCTGATTTTTAAAGAATTTATTTGCAAAATATGGTGGAAAATAAGTATTTGGTCAGTTACAAACAAGCAAGATTTCTGGCTCTCACAGACCTACACATACTTTTTTGCCCCACTGTATCTCATTCGGCCTTACTTATTTCACATTTCGCTAATTTATAGTGTAAGTGGAACTTGAGGATTGGAGAGTTTACCCAGGTTGGAGAAAAGTGAGTGAGCCTGTTTCAGATCATATGCATACCTTAGAGGTAAAACTGCGAATTAACGTGGAGTGAAATATAGAGGAAAAGCCTGAACAATCACACCGACAGCCTTTTCTGAGAGGGAGTAGCACTGATGTAAAAAAAAACAATGAGCACCTTCAACTTGACTCCCACCAAAAAAATATAAATTTAGTATTTGGAGTAATTTTTTTTCCTGGTGAGTACATAAACACCTGTTACGCCCACAAGGGCACACCATATTTAAGGACACAGAAAACTGAGGTACAAAAAAAAAAAAAAAAAAAAAATGTATTTCTTATTTGTTCTTTTGTTTAACTCTCTCTATAAAGCCTCTTTTCTCAAGTCATCTGTGGGGATGTTCTGTAGAGAAAAAAGAAACAGAAATAAATATTCTCAGCTTTTGTGTCCAAAAAAGAAAAGGGGAAAAAAAACAGAACCACAAAACCCAAACTATTAACAAAAAATTGGACCTGGTGAGCCGATCAAACTGTCTAAGCCCCTACTAGTACCGCACTACAGCAAAAAGAAACTACTAAGAGAAATAAAGAATCGAAAACAGGACAAACGGACCCACCAGGCCAAAATCCGAACAAATCCAAAACAAAGGCTAACAAAAATATTTTAAAAATATGGCAGGTCTGAGGTGTCAGCTGCAGCCTACAGCATCTGGGACTGGTGCATGTCATGATTTTATCCAAAGATCTGACCCACATGCAGAAAACCAAACAGAGAGACCAGGGGAAGGTTTAACAGGTTTATTATGAACTGGTAGATATGGGTCCAGTGCTGCTCTGAACACTGGTGAACCAGGACTGAAAAGTGAAGGGGAAGATCCTATGGTTAGTTCAGGCTCAGAGGGAAATTTGTGTTTCGATTTGTAAAAGGGAATAAAGGCAACAGGACTCACGTTTCCAGAAAAGGTGTCTTTCTTTGAATCCAGTCGGTGTGGGTTGTTCCAGTAATAGACTTGCTTGTTGGAGGGCGGACAGGGTTTACCCAGGCTGAGGTGTTTCCTTGATGAACGGAGGCGCTGACTGCCACTTAGATTTCCTATGGTACTTGAACGTTTTCTTGTGGAGATGAATCCCCTGCTCAGTGTGAAGCCCAGACAATCCTTGGGGAAAAGTTGATCCAAACCCCCTGTTAGAATCCTCAGCTCAGTTAGATGCTCAGAAAATCCTTCCAGGGGGAGAAGCTCAAAAACATCCAGTTTGCAGGATGACTTCCTACCGAGAGGCAAAGACAAAAAACAACAAGGTTAAGACTCCGGTGACAAAAACTCAGTTTGACTCAGCAAAACTCAGCTTGGCTAGAGTACCCAAAACTGGCAAACACTCTGGCGACGAGGTAGTGGCAGTCAGCAGCTTAAGAGTCCTCCGGTAATGAGGCAACCATCCGCAGGTGTGTGAGAAGGCCAACAAGAACCAGGTGCCACCTGGTGGTGGAGGAAAACAAAGAAAAACACAACCCACACAAACTGGATTCCTAACAGTGCGCCTCCGTGGTGGAGATTATTGAGCAAACATAAGGGTGGGGTGCCGCCAGATCAAAACCCAGCGTATTTATAGGCAGTCCAACAGCCACTAACAGCCATTAACCTGGCCAAAATATTTACCAAAAAAAATATACAAACTCCAAAACATACTAAACAAAAAAGAAAATTATAATAATTGAACTAAACTCAATATTAAACCATCTGGAAAGAATAATTAACTAAATAATTATGTGTCCAAAGCGCATAAAACACCACAGAAAAATACAGCTTTTTATAATGTTAGATACCTTCTGTTTGAACAGAATGACTGAGCTGCCAGCATTTACTGAGACAACATTTTAGGAAAAGTCCCTGATTTGTTCCCTGAGCCAAATTGCCGATTCATATCCTGTTAATGATGCAATAAAACTGCACTTCCCACAAATCAGTTTACTATGAACGAGTGGTTTGTTTTAATGATATTGTATTTTTTCTGATGTACATTTCTTTGCAGAAGCGGACAGTGCCTTTTTTTCACATAGTGTCTCATTAAAGTTGCATTTGAAATGTATGTGCTAGACCAACATAAAATAATGCTTGTGGATGGTGAAGCTAGTCAGAATTGATGGGAAGCTGAAAAGAAGAGTTAATTACAAGCTAATACTTTATAGATACTTTATAGGTCATATTGAAGTATATCCATCTATTAGAATGACCAAATCAAAGCTCAAATCAGCATAAACTTTGATTCAAATCTTGAAAACTGATGCAATGTAGGGCTGCAACTATTATTTCACAAATCGATTAATCCGTTCAATACTTGGTTATTCGATTAATCGATCAATAATCAGATTGCAAAAGATTGATTAAAGAAGATTTTTGTGAAATTAAATCAGGTGAATCTAAAACTTCTGCATAGAGCATATATATAGACAAGCAAGTTTTCTTTTAATCTAAAATGCAAAATGTATATGTATATATATATATATTTTTTTTTTTCAGTTACAATAATGGTATAATTACTGCTCTAAAAGGTGCTCTGTCAGCTAAAGGCATGTTTTAGAGTCTATAAGCTCCTCTTGAAGATGAATCAGTTACTGAATTAGTTGAAGATTATTTCAATAATTGATTAATCACGAATAATCCAATTAAGTTTTTCAGCTCTACTGTAATATACGCTTTACCACTAACCTAACTTGACTTGAATTCTTACAAAGAAAGATGAGCAAAGTATTCAATCTGTTGTTATGAAAATGTGATAGTGACATACCTTGAAAGACTTTTTGCTGCAATTACAGTAAAATGCAGCCCTGAGAGTTGTGGCTGAAAAAATTTTATTTTTATTTTCTGAGAATAAACAAAATCAAAATGTCTATAATCTTTCCTCCACAATTATCCATTTCCTGTATGGCTGTTGCACAAAATTAGATAAGAATATAATCCACTAAATTCCATTTAACAACAAAAACAAAAAGTAGCATCTACCGCTATGGAAACACTACAAATGTACGGAAGAGGATTAGGGCCACTGAAAAAAAAAAAAAAAAGTTAACTGATTTTTATTTTTTATTTTATTTCAGTATAGTATGGGGAAAAAGTCAGAATTCTGACATTTTTCTCTGAATTCTGAGATTAAAGTCAGAATTCTGACTTTTTTCTCAGAATTCTGACTTTAATCTCAGAATTCTGACTTTTTTCTCAGAATTCTGACCTTTTTATTGTCAGAATTCAGTCAGAATTCTGAGAAAAAGTCAGAATTCTGAGAAAAAAAGTCAGAATTCTGAGATTAATCTCAGAATTCTGACTTTTTTTCTCAGAATTCTGACCTTTTTATTGTCAGAATTCAGTCAGAATTCTGAGAAAAAGTCAGAATTCTGAGAAAAAAAGTCAGAATTCTGAAAAAAAAGTCAGAATTCTGAGATTAATCTCAGAATTCTGACTTTAATCTCAGAATTCTGACTTTTTTCCCATGTTAAACTGAAATAAAATGTAAAAATCAGTTTACTTTTTTTTTATTTTCAGTGGCCCTAATCCTCTTCCGTACAAATGGGAGATTCTCCTCTCAGAGTAAGGATATGTTTTGACTTTAAATTAACTCAACCAAAGCTCCCAGAAGGGCTTTAACCTAGATTTTTCCAGCATAGTTTGTTGACAGAAGTCACTGCGAATGTACCACCTGATATTTGTGTATGGTTTTTTTTCTCTGGCAGGATAGCACAGGAGCAGTGCTGCGTGTCGGTGCTGGAGGATAGAATGTGTTCCATTGGCATCAACGTGGCAAAAGACCAGGGAGTCTGCGATTCTCTACTCGCCAGCACCTGTGAGACCAAGACTAAAAAGGTTTGTTTTTGTCAGTTTATGGCCCCAAATGCTTGATAACCTAGTAGCTCACAGACAAACATGACAATGCAAGACTAATCAATAATTTTCATCCATGTGCATCCATCTTATTCCGATGGCAGCCAGTTTCTGTCTGAATTGAGCAGTTATGTGTCAGAACAAGGTTCTGTTTTGCAGAGCACTGTGAAAACTCGGTTGCAGCTTTTCAATAAGGCTAAGACATAAAAGGAAATCCTTCATTTGGATATCATGTACTTGAAATCTTAGTCATAATCTGATGGAAATTATGCATAACCTTAGCTTTCAGTTTAATAAGCTTTGATCCTCTGAAGACTTCACGTTGATGCAGTACCTACTATTGGAGGTGTCCGGGTTCTGTCCACTATCCACCTGGTTGAAATTGTGTATTGTTCCCTGTCCAAGGGGAATAGCTCTATGCTAGGTCTATATGCCTATTCTTACCATTTTAACATTTTTGTAACATTTTTCCAATGCTACAGCTTTAAAGGAATAGTACACCCAAAACATGATTAGCCTTCATTTTCTACTTACCCCCATGCTGAACAACACTCTGGAGTACTTTTTTGATATCTCAAATGCATCTGGAGATCTGGGAGGCTTCTTGCTGTCTGCTGACATTCAAATAATGGAGGTCTATGGCGCCCGAGGCAGAAAGGTCCATAAAAGTCCACAAAAAACGTGTCAATATTCCTCCATACTGCTCGTCCAATGTATTCCAAGTGTCCTGAGTGGTTAGCGTCCAGAATTTACTCGAAACGAAGTCATTTAGAATGTTTTTAGAGCATAAACAGTAGTGTATAGGATTTCCTGAAAGCGCGCGCCTGCGAGTTCACGACGCTACGGAAACTGCGGCAGACCAAACCAGATGAAAGTGCGCATTCAGCTCGGCAAAGAACTCATGCTCTTCCTCAACACTGAAGTCTTCAGACATTTTTCTTTCTTTCTTTGCACAGGTAAACAGCACATTTCTTCTTCTACGCTTGCATTATCGGCAGAGCAGACGCTGAATGCGCACTTTCATCTGGTTTGGTCTGCCGGCTTCCGTAGCGTCGTGAACGCGCAGGCGCACGCTTTCAGGAAATCCTATACACTACTGTTTATGCTCTAAAAACATTCTAAATGACTTCGTTTCGAGTAAATTCTGGATGCTACCCACTCAGGACACTTGGAATACATTGGACGAGCAGTATGGAGGAATATTGACACGTTTTTTGTGGACTTTTATGGACCTTTCTGCCTCGGGCGCCATAGACCTCCATTATTTGAATGTCAGCAGACAGCAAGAAGCCTCCCAGATCTCCAGATGCATTTGAGATATCAAAAAAGTACTCCAGAGTGTTGTTCAGCATGGGGGTGAGTAGAAAATGAAGGCTAATCATGTTTTGGGTGTACTATTCCTTTAATGTATTATATTTGGGTTTTATGTGATAGACTATCAGAAAGAGGCGTGTGAATCGGAAGCACAAGGGAATAATTTTTATTTAAAAAACAAAAAGCTGACGACTGCATAATATAAGCCTTTATATTATGCTCTGCTTAGCAAATGATCTGAGCCCAAGACCAAAGAGTAAACCAGGTCGGTCCGGGATAAATTTGTTTAAAGCAGGGTTAAGCTGTGTAGGGGATTGTTGGCCTAGTGATTAGAGCAGTGAGCTTGTGATCTGAGAAGGTTGCAAGTACCCGGTTCGATCCCCACAGCCTCCACTCTGGGTTCCTGAGCAAAACCCCTAACCCAACACTGCTCCCCGGGCGCCACACAACGGCAGCCCACGGCTCACCAAGGGGATGGGTTAAATGCAGATACATTTCTCCAATATGAGCTCAATAAAGTCTAATTATTATTAAGGTGTGTAACAATATTGTTGCAAATTTCAAACATCGCAAGAAACAAAAAAATCTGTTCTGAAAAAAAAAACCTCCTAAGACATACTGTAGCTGTTCATTTCATCCGCCAGCTATGAGTTCTATGTGAGCTTCACAGATCCACTGATCTGTGAAGTCGTTGACTGGAAAGCTGATACTATCTGTATGTATTCCCTTTATTAAAGAAATGTAAGTTAAAAAGAAATAACTGAATTTTAATCCTGTTGAAAATGCGGAGGAAGGAGCTCTGATTAGATCTACCTAACTCATCGTCAGTAACATATCCTGTGAGCAGGGTGTTTTGCTCCTTTACTTTCACAGTTGTGTAGGATTAAGTGTTGGTCTGCTTCATACTGTAGATCATAATGTGACATAATGTAAAAAACGTTAAACTTCTGTGGAAACTTAGCACACACCTAAATCCTCCTCTAAAGCAAAATGTCTAAACCGCTGCTGCTCTTTCTATTCATATTTCCAAGAAATGATTAAGGAAGCCTTATTTTTTCTTTCTTTATCTGAATGTTAGATCCTTTGGCAATAAATGGATAAATTATAGTAGAATAAAAAAATTGTATGCACTTTCTTTCCTTATTGTCTGCATGGGCAGGATGAGGCATGCCGATCCAGGAAAAAAATGAGTTTGTTGCTGCCAGAGAAATGATAAACTCACTGCAGAGCTTTTCACAGGCTCACAGCCAACCACTGTTTAGCTTCCCTGCATCTGCATTTACTCTCAAACTAACCCAATCTTGTGTTTTCACAATATTTTACCCATCAGCACATCTGGGGTTGTTTTAAAGGGCAGCTTTAGGTAGGTTTGTGTGTTTATTTGACGAGGTTGTCAGTAGAGGAACTTGTCTTTGCTTGATCAGGCTTGTACCTCAATGTCATGGATAACAGAAGGCGACCTGGATTATAGGTAAATGATTCCTTCACCCTAGATGCAAAGAAATATTCAGGGAGTTTTAGTTTTTGTGTGTAGTTTAGATAATACTTTACACATTTACTGTGAAGGGAACTTTAAAGTAAGCAGTTAACTTAATAGCTATTTTTTAAACTATGAGAGGAAGCCAGGCTACCTAGACAGAGAACATGCAAACTCCCTGCAAAAATACTCCAAGCCTGGGATCAAACCCAAGACTATCTCACTCAAAGACAATAATATAAACAACAGCACTCTAATGCTACGTTCGCACCGGACGCAGCAAGAGCAGCAAAATCGCGTCTGCTGCTTCATTTTTGCTGCTTGTACCAGTTTAGTTCTGACGTGCGGCTGAAGCAGCTTTGCTGCTCTGGCTGCACGGTGCAAAAGTGGGTCTGACGCGCGTTGGGCGGAGCTTCACTATCCTTTCTCTGCCTTGCAGATATATTTGCTGTGATCAGTGGGAATAAAGTAGTTTTAATATGTTTTTAAGTGGGAAAATCCACCTGAAAACGTAAACATTGCAGTCAGTTCATCCAGATTACCATCCTGCCTTCCAATATTATTTCTGTCTGAGCCGCTCAGACCCCCACATACCAGCGGGGCGCTGTCAGTAGGAATCCCATACAACAGCAGCCTCTGGCCAGGTCGCCTCCTCGCGGTTCACCACGGCGGCTGGTAGGTGTTTTTCATCTAAATAATCTAAACTACAGGCACCAGGATAATAAAAGCAAACATATTCTGCCGGCAGATTTCTGCATTTTAAGTTAATTTAGGCGTTAAACTGTTTCAGAGGAGCGATCATAGCGCTCTGTGTCATCAGCGCTGTGTCTGTCTCACGGCCTGCTCCCAGATCAGCAACCATTGACTTTGCAAGTAAACTCGCTGCATCTGTCGCGCCTACTGCGTCCGGTGTGAACGCAGCATAAGGGAACATGTCCAGAATATCGTTTGCACTCTATTATTTTGTTTAATTGATTGACATGAAGATTAGTAGGTTTAAAGTTGGTATTTTTTACCTGATAAGTCAATTTCTTAAAATGTAGGATTCCTTAAGCCGGGCATAGGCTCATGATTTTTTGCCCTTTTCGGGCCGATTTTCCAGACATGCAAGTATTTTTTCAAACTTGCCGAGTTTCAGCCTTATCATGCATCCTGGGTTGTGCAGGGTACAGGGGGTAGCGAGGAATTGTAAGGTCGGGAGAAGATCAAACATGTTTAAAATTTTGTTGGCCGCCTAGAGGTGTTTGTGGACAAATCCTGCTGTTGAAGTAGAGCTACGAGCAGATTTACCAGAACCTCGAGCACTGCGCATGTGCAAACAAGGGAGTTCTTCCTTTTCCAGATTGACATGTCTGTGAGCTGAGAAATTTTAAACCCTGTTTCAATGTACAGTTTGAGCTGTAGCTGCGTGCAACGATTGAAAATGTTGCAAAGTTTATGCATTTTTTTAGAAGCCAAAGCTCATCTGATTTCATATGAGTGAACCTGCGTCCCTCACGCAATCTCAAATGTCTCTGTGCAGCACGTTTTCCATTGCTGTTTTTAGATGTGAACTTATAGTAAGTTCAGTGCCTACCTCAAGCAGTGCTTAGGTTAAATGCAGGGTACATAGCTTGTGATTAAATAGATTTTGTTGTAACCTATTTTCAATAAACTTCAGGTTTGTTTGGTCTGAGTATCTATGTAATGTTTGAGATTCTGGCTTGTGTACAATCTCCCATTGTCTGTGCTCTCTTCAGTGTCAGCTGTCAGATCTAAACCTGCATTAAGCTCACTCTCCTACTACACAGACGGAGCACACATCAGCCAGAGGGGATCATGTCAACTCATCTCCTGCATGTTTCTTACATGCTTCCTGTCCCAGATATTTGCTTTCTGAAGGATGTCAGCTGGTGTATCTTCTTAGATCTCATCTATCTATTTTGAGGCATTCTGACAGACCATCTGGAAGTTTCTACAAGTATAATCAAAGTCTAAACAAGATGTCCTCGCTACATTTAAACAATCAGCCCTTGGTCTATCTTCTGTCCTTTCCTGTTTTCATTCCAGGGCTTTCTTCTTCTGGAACATGACTTCCTGGTGCCACGTTTTTACTTTTTTTGTCATCTTTTACACAGATATGCTGTGACTGTTGTCTCCTTGGCAAAGCAGCTCAGGAACTGAACATACCCTGCGACCACAACCTGTTTATCGGCTACCAGTGCAGCCTGGTGTCAAGGGCCTGCTGTATGGATGGAGTTCCAGACAACCAGACAGCAGAACTAGAACAGTCTAAATGTAGGTAAAAGCAGATAATTAATACTGAAATTACTATATGATATAAAAAAAGAAAAAAACAAAGGAAAAAGGAAAAAAAAAGGAAGAGGAAATCTGTACAAAATACAAAGGTGCTGCCCTCTGGTGGACAAATATTGTCTATCTATCTATCTATCTATCTATCTATCTATCTGTCTGTCTGTCTGTCTGTCTGTCTGTCTGTCTGTCTGTCTGTCTGTCTGTCTGAGGGGAATTTTTGGAAATAGAGCAGTTTTAGGAAGAAGCTGATTCATCATATTCTCACCTGTGAATTGAAATCAGTGGCTTATGATGCACAAAATGAAAGAAAGATTTAAAGACATTGAGCTTCTCTGGAGGATTTCATGTAAAAAGTTAGAAATATCAAACTTAGTTACCTCTGCACATTGTGGTATAGCATCAGGAGGAAAACTCTGTTGACTGTTTGAAGTTTGGCATAAGCATGACACGCTAAACATGTAGAAGAAGGTTTTCTTGTTAGATGGGACCAAAAATTTACCTTTTTTGGCCAAAAGGCAAAATATTGAATGTAATATATTCTATATTCTAATATATTCTAATACGGCATGACATCCTGATCATACCCTATCCACTGTAAAAACATAGTGATTTAGACTTACTGCAGATCAGAGTTGAAGGGAACAGATATGGGGCTAAATGTCTTATGTTCTTAAAATAAAAAAACAAACAAACAAAAAAGAGGGTCAGAAGGTGCAAAAAATGCAAGGCTGTTTTGGAGATACATTTTCCAGCAGGAAAAGCCTTAGATCAATGTATGACTTCATGTTAGTCTAACACACAGACACAAACAAACACTTAAAAAGTAAATCTAAGTAAGTCTAACCTTGTTTTTGTAGTTTTTATTTTATTGTTTTTAATGAATATGAACTACATATTGATATTTACTCTCTGTGACCCACAGTGACCAATAATAACGCTACATCAGGGACAGACCTTACATGCAGAGGTAAAGTGGCTTTTTTTTAAAAAGATGTCATTTTCTCTTCCCATATGCTTTATTATTTCAAATGCTCTCATTGCTAAGAAATTATCTAAACCAAACTTCTGCTGTTTCTCAGAAAAGTGCGCTCACGTTTGTGTTGGGAATGACACATGTGCCTGTTTGAAAGGATATAAACTCAAACCTGATGGGAGGAGATGTGAAGGTAAAGGAACTTGTTAAACTTGGACATTAAGAGAATATGTGAAGCATTATAATGCAAATACTGATGGATTAATGAAACAGAAAGAGACAGTCCTGAGATAGCAATAGTCCTGTTAGGATATGATGGCTCATGTTTAGTGAACTTTTGGTTTCTCAGACATCAATGAGTGCCTGTTGGGATCCAGTGACTGTCGGGGAGGCGAGCGTTGCATCAACACCGAGGGCTCGTTCCGTTGCATTAGAGAGGTCAGCTGTGGGACCGGCTATGAACTTACTGAAAACAACGACTGCAAAGGTTGAATGCATTGTCTTCTTTTCTTCATACCTTCTGTTGGCTGGTGTTTGCATGCAATGTCCTAATTAGCATTTCTGCCTTGACTTCTTCCAGACATAGATGAGTGTGAGAACGGTATCCATAACTGTGGGGAGCAGTTTGTTTGCCAAAACTCCCAGGGGTCATTCCGTTGTGTCCCAAAGAACACATGCAGCGAGGGATTTATCCAGGATGCACTGGGAAACTGCATAGGTATGATCTATGTTCTCATGCAGAAGGCTTTCAAAAGTTTCAAGGAAACAAGAATTAAAACACCACCAAGATTACTGTCCTTCTTTAGGTGTTTTCGGCTCTTTAGGGTTAATGATACAAATTTCTGATCTCTTTCTTGTTGTCCTATGACCAACTTCTATGTGAAAACTAGAAACTATTATCTTTGTTCTTCTTTTCATGTGATTAAATAGGTGGACTTTTAAACTGGCTTTTGCATCTTGAATTCAGAATTAAAAACGACAAGTAAGACTAAATTGTGTAGCTATTAGGGTCGTCAAAAGTATCGATACTCAAAAAAGTATCGATACTGAAAAGTTGTATCCGGATACAATACTCTAGTGCTACCACCAGTGGCACCTAAACAGTCATTCATCTTATGCGCAGATTAGAGATTAATGCACTTTCTGAACACTGTGTGATTGAATAATTCTGTGCACTTTTCGGTTTCAGACTTTTTTCTATAACAGGTGCAGCTGCTGAGAATAATTTTGGTTTTTAACCGGTTTGGCTAGTGTCATTGTTATGTGTGTAAAGCATAGCCAAGGAAGGAAAACTTAATTTTAATTTTGTAAGTTTTTTATCAAGCTTGCTTAATATTGTGCGCAGCATACAACCTCAAAATATTGTTTATTGTATTTATTTATCTATTTATTGTATTTTGTTTATTAATGAAAAAATTTCTGTTGAATTTTGGAGTCTTTGTTTTTATCCTTGTGGTATCGAAAATGACATAGAGTATCGAATATTTTACTTAGTATCGGTATCGAGTTGAAAAGTTTAGTATCGTGACAACCCTAGTAGCTATACAGTTTACTTGAACTTGACATCCTTCAGTTTGTATAGCAGAGACTCCTATACTTTAATTTCCCCAGATACCACCTCCACCTTCCATGGAGGAAGCCTGAGGCGCTCCTATGAGAGCCCAGAGACATAGTCCCTCCAGCGTATCCTTGGGCGTCCCCTGGGCCTCCTCCCGGTGGGATGTGCTTGGAACACCTCCTGAGGGAGGCGTCCAGGGTGCATATGAAAAAGATGTCCAAGGCACTTCAGCTGACTCCTCTCAATGTTGAAAAGAAGTAGCTCTACTTCGTGCCTCTGGCATATGATCGAGATCTTCACCCTATTCTATCTTTAAAGGACAGGGTGAGACGGTTCAGGGGAGAGAGCTTGTTTTGGCCGCTTGTATCCAGAATCTTCTTCTTTCCTGTATGGACGATAGGAGCTACCTTTTCGCCCACCTTTTCACCACAACAGAGCACTTAAAGCAGAAACTCTCCTCCAACCTAAAGGGGACAAGCCACCTTTTTCTGGTGGAGAACCATGGCCTCAGATATTGAGGAGCCGATTCTCATTCTGGCTGCTTCGCACTTGACTGTAAACGTCTAAATGCATGCTGTAGGTCCTAATAGGAGGGAGCCGGCAGAACCACATCATTTGCATAGACGAGATCCACTTTTTCACAGTTACAATTCTCAATAACCATGTACTGTTTATGTACAATATCTGAATGTATAAGGGATAATGCATTGATGCTCTGCACATTGGTGATATATTTGGTCAGATGGCCATCTGACCAAATATATCATTCTCTTAAGGCCCACATATGTGTATTTGAGTGGCTAAGACAGTAAAGATGAAAAGATTCCATTTTATAGTCACTTTGTGGTGACCTATCAATAAGAGCTTGACCGTAGTGTTTGATGAATCCAATGATTTAGAAAAAAATACCAAACTGTAAAGTATTATTTACTCGATTTACCTTAAAATGTGCATTTTACAATGTAGAAAGCAGATAATTTAACATTTTCTGTGTTTCCAGATATCAATGAATGCGTCACTGAGAAGAGTCCTTGCCACAGAGGGCAAATCTGCATCAACACGGTTGGCTCCTACAGCTGCCAGAGAAACTCTGTGAATTGCGGCCGGGGCTACCACCTCAATGATGATGGCACGCGCTGTATCGGTAGGACAGAGAAGTGAACCCCGTTTAGGCCTTACTTTAAACACCCTAGATGTTCACTAAATTTCTTCACATCTCTCAAGATATCGACGAGTGTAAAGGACCTCAACCAGTCTGTGAAGGTCATGCCTGTATCAACCAACTGGGTTCGTACCGCTGCGAGTGTGAAACTGGATACAACTTTAACAGCATCACTCGTCTTTGTGAAGGTAAGCTCTTCAAAAATAAATATCTTGATGCATGAATCAAAGACATGCATAGACCTGCAAATAAGACTTGGTGTTATCTTCACTCTTACGCTTTTTATAATAATCTTTCTTTTAGATATTAATGAGTGCAGGCATTACCCTGGACGGCTATGTGCTCATAAATGTGACAATACCCCGGGGTCCTACAAGTGTACCTGCACCACAGGTTTCAAACTGGCTGCAGATGGCAGGAACTGTGATGGTGAGCTAATACTTATCACTGCATTTTACAACTTTTTAGATTTTTTTAAATATATCCTGAAACATTAAAGACAGTAAGTTGTTTTTTTGTTCCCAGAAATTGAAACCACAAATAAAAGCGTCAATATCTCTCCTTGGACAGTTTCTACTGCTGCGCACAAATATATATTTTTTTATACACAGCAGTAACTTTCATACAATTTGAATTTGATTAAGGGATAGAATATACAGTTATATTCTTTATTTTTATCTGCCTAAGGAAAAGTGGCTTTGATAGGCCATTCAGTTTAGATCATTTGAATTTACCTGGTTATTATTCAAATTATTATTGTTGCATTACACTTTTGCAGACATGTCGTTCTTCTTACCAAAGCTAAGGAAAAGGCTTTTGTCATGACAGATTCAGAAACAAGTTTATTGCCAAGCAGGTTTGCACTTACAAAGAATTTGACTTGGTGTTGAAGGTGCAGACAAATTAGATCTACATTCAGAATATATGTACAATATACTATATATAGTATGTAGCTATGTACTATATACACCGTGGCTGTGTGTTAATATAACGACCATATATCAACCATATATAAACCATGTTAATATATCAACCATGCTTTAACAGAATGAAAAAAAAGCAGGCCTAGATATATAGCTTATAGCTTTTCAGGCAATCGCTGCATTCAAACAATTCCTTTATCTTCTAAACCTCCCAGAAGGTATTTTGCCCCACTCCTCATGAGCAAGCTGCTCCAGTCTCAGGTTTAAAGGCTGCCTTTTTCTAGAGGGCCTGTTTCAGCTCCTTCCAAAGATACTAAATAGGATTTATATCAGGGCTTATTGAAGGCCACTTCACAAAAGGCCAGTGTTTTCCTGTTAGCCATCCTTAGGTGTTTTTAACTTCTGTTTTTGGTCATTATCCTTTTGAGGGCCAATGACCAGGCTTTTAGGCACTTTGCAGCCCATTTCTCTCTAGAATCCCTTGATAGTCTGAAGATTTTGTTGTGCCTTGTAGAGATTCAGACACCCTGTGTAAGTTGAAACAAAGCAGCCCTACAACATAACTACTGTAAGCCCCTCCATGTTTCGCAGTAGGGACAATGTTTTTTTGAGATGTTACCTTTTTCTCTTTGTGAACATCGAGCTGATATGCCTTGGTTAAACAGTCCATTTTTATCTCATCTGTCCATAGAACATTCTCCCAGAAGCTTTGTGGCAAATTCCAGTCTGCCCTTTTAATAATTTTTTTCAACAACGGTGTCCTGGTCGGTTGTGTCCCATAAACTCTACTAAAGCTTAAATAATAACACAAGGTGTGTAACTGTCATGATCTTATTTGATGATCTGACCCACATGCAGAAAACCACTCAGAAGAACCAGGGGAAGGTTTAACAGGTTTTTTTGAAATTTAGTAGAGATGGGTCCAGTGGTGCTCTGAATGCTGGCGAATCGGGATTGAAAAGATAAAGGGTAAGTTTCTGTGTTTAGTTCAGGCTCAGTGGGAAATTTGAGCTACGATTTGCAAAAGGCAGAAAAAGCAACAGGACTCACGTTTCCAGAAAAGGTGTCTTTCTCTGAATCCAGTTGGTGTGGGTTGTTCCAGATATTGGTTTGCTCGTTGGAGGGCGGACAGGGTTTACCCAGGTTAAGGTGATTTCCTTTGGTACCCAGGTTAAGGAAATTTCCTTTGGTACTTGAACGGTTCTTGTGGAGATAAATCCCCTGCTTAGTGTGAAGCTCAAACAATTGTTTGGGGAAAAGTAGATCCAAACCTCCAGTTTGAATCCCCAGCTCAGTTTGTAACTCAAGACTATCCTTCCACGGGGAGAAGGTCCAAAACATCCAGTTAGCAGGATGACTTCCTGCCGAGAGGCAATGACAAAAACAACAAGGTTAAGACTCAGGTAGACAAAAAGTCAGTTTGACTCAGGAAAACTCAGCTTGGCTAGAGTACCCAAAACTGGCAAACAGTCTGGTGTCGAGTTAGTGGCAGTCAGCAGCATAAGAGTCCTCCGGTAATAAGGCAACCATCCACAGGTGTGTTAAAGGGCCAACGAGAACCAGGTGCCACCTGGTGGTGGAGCGAGAGAACACAAAAAACGCAACCCACACAAACTGTATTCCTAACAGTAACGACAGATTATGATCTCATTAATCTGTTAGTTTTTGATTGCAAAGGTAACTAGATTTACAGGATTTTCTTTATATATGTTCAACTGGAGTGCCAATGTTGTGACACTTTTAAGTGTGCATTTAAGGTTTCCCAACAAGTGGAGTTCATGATAGTTGGAAAAAAAAAGGTACAGGGTGCTTCTCCACATGTTCCTTTGCTAGCGCAAAGCTCATCTCACCAAAGCACACTGTTAATTGCAAACAAGCTCAATCTGAAGAAAGTACACAGTTCAAGTACTGCTAAAGTACCAGAAGAGTTTCCTTTTGTGATTACTTTTAGTTTTTGTGAGCTTGAAAAAAGAAGTATATTATCAAACGCAATTGTTTACTTTTATATGTACATGGACATTAACAACGTCGTATTCCTAAACTATGTCCAGTAGGTCATAGTTTAGAAATAAGGCATCCAGTTCCTTTCATCTGGGAAGTTGTTCTATAAGGTTGAGTTCAGGACTCAAACTTTACATCCATGAAGCCATGGAGGTATTGAAACGTCCCAAATTAATTGATTTTAGCTTCAAATAACGGTTACTATGGAGACAGGATGAGCCCTATGATGTAACTTTGTTCTAGTTTAAAGCTAGTTAGAAACTGATGGTTGAAATTCTTAGATACTCTGATCAACTTAAGGGTTAAAGCATGAGTATAAAGCATTCATAAAGGACCTGGATTACATATGTTTAATAAACATTTTAGGGGCTAATACATGTTGTGTTTATTGTAATTTAGTTAAAAATATCACTTCTGTTTTTTTCTCTGCTAAATACATGTACTCATGGTTATATTTGTATTGAATCATTGGGGTGAATTATAATTCTGCAATGAAACATCATTTAATCTAAAGGCCTATTTACACATGTTGATGAGGAGAGCCAGAAGTGGGGTGGTTTATGAGGACATATCAGCAGAGATGGGAAGTAACGAAGTACAAATACTTTGTTACTGTACTCAAGTAGATTTTTCTGATATTTTTACTACTTATTTTTATGGTGACTTTTTACTTCTACTCCTTACACTTTTACACAAATATCTGTATTTTCTACTCCTTACATTTGAAAAAACTGGCTCGTTACTTTAGTTTTGAATCATTTCAATGGAGTTACCGTTATTATTTTTCACGTCATCAATACCAAATTCAATCTAATTGGATGGGAATCTACGTTGCATTTGACGCACCACTACAAGATGAATCGACAGATTTGGCGGTATTCATCATTGCAGCTTGGTGGCGGTGGCGTTAGCATAGTAGTATGGACGACGAGATGATTGAAAATGAACACAACGGAGATCTAGTTCTACTGGCAGACATCCATTTAAAATGTAGGCAACGGCATGAAAAAAGTGGTTTCTACTTTTACTTTTATACTTTAAGTAAATTTACAAGCCTGTACTTTGTTACTTTTACTTGAGTAAAGAAGTTTAATCCGTACTTCCACTTTTACCAGAGTATTTTTTAACACAAGTATCTGTACTTTTACTCAAGTACGGAAAGTGAGTACTTTTGCCATCTCTGCATATCAGTGACCTGGTGGGGTCTTCTCTCTCTCTGCAGATTTGAATGAGTGTGAGACCAACCCGTGCAGTCAAGAATGTGCCAATGTGTATGGCTCTTACCAGTGTTACTGTCGCCGTGGTTACCAGCTCAGTGACATAGATGCAGTAACTTGTGAAGGTAATCCAACTCAGACGCTTCTGATTTTGGGAAATGGTCAAACCTGTTGTCCACAAATGCTATGAGAGACACTTCTAAGTGTTTTAATGTTTAAACATACAGTATTAAATAAGTACAAATGTTTTCTGAATATATGCCCTTGTTTTTCCTCGTTTTTTTGTGATTTATGCAGATATAGACGAATGCGCCCTTCCCACTGGAGGCCATATTTGCTCCTATCGTTGCCACAACACACCCGGCAGCTTCCACTGCTCCTGTCCGGCCAGCGGCTATACGTTGGCAGTGAATGGGCGGGGTTGCCAGGGTAAGGTGCTCCTACAGTAATGTTACTCTGTTTGTGGTATTTTTATTTTTCAATTCTTGATGAAATCTTTGAATTCTATCTAAAGAACTTTTACCGCCCCCTTTGCCAATCTAGATATTGACGAATGTGTTGCGGGAACTCACACATGCACCGAGAATGAGAGCTGCTTCAACATTCAGGGAATTTTCAGATGCCTGTCCTTCGACTGTCCAAAAAACTACAGACGTGTTGGACAGACGTGAGTATCTTAATGTTACATTTGTTGTCTTAAAACAAAAGTAAAATAGCAGGTCTTATTTGAATCACACAACAAGGTGGACAAAGGCTACAGGTTTGGCTTGAAGAGGCCATTTAATTTACTCCTTATTCAGAATTATTTCAAATGAAATCATTGTCCGTCATTCTCATCCTGCTTTATGCTGAATGATTTTAGAATTTGGCTGTAGCATGTTCTCTCCTTTTAAGAGGAATAATAAAATTCACATTGACATTATTTACCTTCCACTTTTTCCCTTTTCTAACTAAGACTGTGCCCTCAGCCTTGTATGAAAACAGTAGACCATCCTGCATGTCCCATCAGGAGTACAAAATCTGACATCACCCTGTTAATTCTCATGTTTCTATTACTGCATGCAATGCATGGTCATTGAAATTTACAGCTATTTTTCCTCTCCCTGTCAACCCTTCCCCCTCCCTCTGCCCCCACCCCTCTGGTCTTGCAGTCGATGTGAGCGCTTGCTTTGCAATGACTCTGTTGAGTGCCCGATCTTGCCCTTGAGAATAACCTACTACTACCTCACCTTTCCCACCAACATTCCCGTCTTCACCAATATCTTCCGCATGGGCCCCTCCCACACAATGCCCGGCGATGACATCCAGGTGGCTCTAACTGATGGCAATGAGGGGGGGTTCTTCAAGGCCGAGCGCACACCCACCGGTGGTGTGATGTCAGTGGCGAAGCTCATCAATAAGCCGCAGGATTTCCAGCTGGACCTGGAGCTGAGGCTGCGCCGCTATGGCACTCTCTCCATATACCTGGCTAAGGTCCTGGTATTTGTCACCCAGGAGGAGCCCAGAGTACCATACAACCCCTACCAAGAATAAATGTATCACCTGCTGAGGATTACACAATATATTTTACAATTAAACAGATTGTGAGAAACATGATAAAAAAATGTAGATTACTATATTCCTAAGGTACAAATGCTTCAAATATATTTGCAACTGAAAAAAAGATGTTTGAAAAGTCTTAAATAAATCATAGCACAGATCAGGGTGCTGTGACCGATTCCAGTCTCTATTTTTTGTAATATCTTAATTTGGTTGTGCAATTTTATTTGATTTTAAATTGCTGTAATAAACAGTACTTACAAATATTTCAAAAATATTTTGATATTACTTTTTCACATTTTGAGCCAAACCCATGTTTTTGAGTGTGATAAATGTAAGGAATGGTTTTTGCATTTTAAGAAAAACAACAAAAATATAAAAAATTAGATTCTTTATTTGTTGCTTTGATTAGCTTTTTAAATGCTCCTGTAGTAACACCTTCCTCACAAAAGAGGGTTTAATTAGTTTTAACCGGTAGCAGGTATAATATAATAAGTTTAAAGTTCCACACTGGCAAGTTATGCTAAAAAAAAAGAAAGAAATCAACCAATACCTGTTTCTCAGTCGTCTCTTCGTGCGTAAATCTTGACCCCTCCTTCTACTTTGATTGCAAAATCTCAGACTGAAATGTGAAACATCCCACAGCGATGTTTTCAAAAAAACTTTTCCATCCTGCTTATTCTGGGTAGTGAAAAGTTAAAACTTGTTTTTTCCCAAAGCTTGTTTTTGATAAAAAAATTTAAACTGTTTTCTTGGTAGAATACCTTTACGGTAAGGAAAGTTTTCTTATAGCTATTTCCTGACACAGGAAGATTGACATTCAGCTTTTCTTGATTTTCAGCAGAATTATTTGTATCTTATAAAAAGATGATTTTCCAAATGAATAAATATAATCAAATGATGGTTGGGCCTCTACAGTTTTCTATGCAATATTTTGCAATTGCAAAAAAGAGTAACTTGTTTTGTAGCTTTTAAAACGTTATACTAGAAGGCTCAGTAACAGTGGATAACACTGTAAACATTATTACAGAATACACTACAAATGCATTTTTGGATTTTGACAGCATACTTTTGCCACTCCGTTATGTCTCTGTATATAGTTTTTTAAAACTCAAAAATGTGTTAAGTTTCCAAAAAAAGTATTTGATATTTTCAGGTCTTACAACTAAAACCTTTAAAATCTCTCTGTATCATAAATTATATAAAGGTTTTTGGTGTTCTCTTTCTTGTTTAGTTACTGCATTGTCATAACAACAACTGTAGGTGGCGGCCTAGGTCTGGGTAAACGGTTAAATGGTAACGACCCAAGCTTGCCTTGAGAGTGAGCGTAACCTGATGACGGTTGCATGATAAATCCTGACATTCTGCAGCCTTTTATGGTTTTGGTGCTGGATGAACACATTTCTATTAAAATGAGATAGAAATAACACATGTTTAAGTCAAATCATGCAGTTGATAATGGTGCATTGTGGGGGTTTTAATCTAATGCAGCAATAGAAACCATTAGGTTGGGAGGCCAAGTCACAGTTGTAGGCATGAAGTGTTCCTTCACATAGTTTCACATTTCTTTTATTCCAGTGGTTTTAGCTGAGAGAAAATGCAGCTGTGCATGCATATTCCCCGCTATTCCATTCTAATGTATTGGTTAAGTGATTAAATTCACATGGACCTACGTCGATGAAATTTACTAACAGAAATCACAAAAAGTGTGCATGTTAAATTGATTTATAGACAGACAGGTGTCATATTCATTTTTATCAACACACACTTCACATCGTCATGCACCACATCTACATCTCTCTGCAGAAGTTGTTTTGGCTTCCATTACATTTAATGTGAAATGCAAAGATTTCCATCGGGTACTAAGAGTGCAGAGCCCAAAGCAGACAGATAATCCAGAAGCAGGCAAAGTAAGTGACATGCGATGAGATGCAGCAGCCAAGGAAGAGGGGTAACATGAGTATAAATAGTTTGACATGCTGTAACGCTGCTGCCCAAACCCGGCAGCTTTTATTAACTGTAAATTCAGATGTCCTGTGTTCCTTCTGTCCTAAGCTGTCATCCCTGTGAGGATGCACTTGGTTCCTAAAGGGGATATCCTTAAAATAAGAGGCCCGAGTTGCGCAGGGTTTCTTCGCACCCCCATCCCCTTTGACATTGAGTTATGGGGCTCTTGGCTCTGGCCGGTGGTCTGAACAATTTGTGGTGCAGCAACATCACCGCACCCGAAATGAATGATGCCCTGCAGTGTTTGTGTTGGGGCTTTATCAATGTGCAGACTATAAATAATAATTACCAAAAAACTCTGGGCCTTAAGCTTGACCAGAGCACTTTTATCCAAAAAGAGTGTTTTTCTTTCTGGTTTGTAGGTATGGGGGTTTTCTCCCTGGCTGAGCCACGTGAGGTGGGAAGTACCAAGAAAGACGTGCATGTGTTCATGTGGCTGAATGCATATTTGCATGGATGAGTGTTTTTGATTTGATTTGTTTACCTTGAATCACTGCCCCTGTTTCTAGGTGCCCACCTGTATGTTCAGTTTCAGGCACAAGTACTCATTCCCTCAAACTTTTGTTTTGTTCATTTTGTCATTGAAATTTTATGGAATAAACCAAGACTAAAAAGCAGCTCAAAGTGAGCAGGTACTGACAAGATGGATGGTTTTCAATGTCCGTGAGGTAAAAAAAAACAAAAAAAAAAAACAGATTTTTTTATACACCAACTTTACTTTATTAAAAAGGGGCAGCCAATCTGTGAGGGGCTTGGAGGTTTGGTTGAGAACATTAGTTAAAAAAAACATTGCCACAACTAAGTAGCACACCACACAGCTTGAAAGTAAGATTGTTAAGTTTAAAGCAGATCAAATAAATAAAACAATCAAGCAGGATTTAATCCACCATCTGAGAATGGTATGCCACCGGGGCAAACCTACAAAGACATTGTACATGAGTTAAATCAACAGAGTTTAGAATTAATGAGAGAAGCCACCAATAAGCTCAATAAAGCTTTGGATGAGCTGCAAGGACCCACTACTCATGTAGAAGAGTTTCTCAAGAGGACACCTTTGAACTCTTTTTCACATCAACATCTGTAACGCACCCTTATAACCATGACAAAAAGCGTCATGCCGAGGAGGTTGCCTTGATTCAGCAGAAACAGAGATATATGTCAGAGTTTACGGGAAGATTGATAGTGCTAAATTAAGGCAGAAGTGGAAGAAGAACTCTTGCAGGTTAAACTCCCAGCATGGAAACAACCACAAACATACAGCAAGCAAAACATTAGAATGGTTGTCACAGTTATGTCTGAATCTAACTTAAACCTATAGGCACGGATTGAAAATAGCTTTTCACAGACATCCATCCAGTTGAGCTGGAAAAATAATGCCCAAAAGATGCCCAAAGTCTTTACATCTATAAGACCTACTATATACTTTATGTACACTGAGTGAATGAATACACATACAGGCCTAACTTTTATTAAATTTTTGTCTTTTTAACTTTGAAACCATGCATAATTTTCCATCCTCTTCACATTTTGTCATAATAATTTGTGAGCCAGTGCATTAAAACAATATATATTGTTTTAATACCCAGTGCATTAAAATATATATGTAAAGGTTGAAGATCGCACAAAAAAAATTCTGAGCAATGAATACCTTTGCACCACCCTGTGAGAGGGAGCAGTTCACGCTTTGCTGTCTTCTCATAAATTCAATCTCTACCTCAACAGCTTTCACCTCATCCTCCAGAGCCCTGCTCAGGCAGTGGTATTATAAACTAGTAGAACATTTTGTGGGTTTGGCCTGGACCAAAGCAAAACTTGGACCCGCCCGCTAATTGCTAATTACAAGCCCCTATAGTGGCGGCTTGACTTTTTTTTCAGGGGCTCCTCTCCACGCTGTCCATGAAAAGAACACTGCAACTCAAACTTTCAGCTGCAGCAGATGGGTCCCGCGAGGAGCACCAGAGCTCCACAACACCGTGACTCACATGTGGCTATATGGCCGCCTCTGAACATTAAATTGACCTATACATGGCAACTCGCATGTTTTTGTAAGCCAAAAGAACCACACACTGACATGTCTTCTCTGTGAAGGCCAACTATGAACAGCCTAATTTAACATCAAAGGTTCTTTTTTTAAAGGTTGCTCACTGTTACATAGACAAAGTGTTGATTTATGAGGGTGTAAATTCCTATAAAGCATCTCGTGAACTCATTTACAGCGGACAGGAAGTGGAAAAGTGATGATCTAGGTGGCGTTGGCTTCATGAACCAGTCATGGCCCTCCACTGTCTCCGACCTGTCACTGATTAGTCTGTGAAATAAACAAAGTCCTAAATAATAGGATGAGAGCTGCCCCGGGGGAGAGGACAGGGAGTTGTCGAGTCATGTTGCTCACAATTTAGGAGTCTGTTAGAACATTCCCTTGCCACATAAATCCTCCACAGGAGATTATCTGATGTGAGGCTGGGGATACTTGGCAAATCCAAATATTTTCCTGAGCAGGTTGTGGATCATTCTTTGTGAGTGCAGTGATTCATTTCCCACACAGCTTGACACAGGGTATCAGAAGAGCATCAACGGCGGCACGAGTCTCCACAAGCAATAAAGTCTGCCTGTAGCATGAGCTTGCACCATTCCTGGTTTATTTTTCTTCCTAACCACTTGGATTTTGGTTATTGCTAATGCTGAGTGCTATATCCAGCACCCTAGCTGTTTTGAACAAATAGTGTTTGTTTAGCAGCCATTGAGGGAATCCCACTGAGTTCTTGATTATGTAGTGGGCAGCACTTTAGAGTGGCTTGTAATTCTGAGCTTTAAAAGGCAAAAGTAATTGACTCTAAAAACTGGAAATAGAAATCACCTAAATATTGGAGGTCTTTAGTGTCTGTGATACTTTTTGGAGTATTCTTTGTTTTCTCTTTCATAGATCCCAGAGGCTTGAACGTTCTGACACCATCCGCTGTATAAAATTATGTCAGCCCAATGACATCACCTGTGCTCTGGACCCCATAGTCTCCTTGTCCCACACCTTCATCTCTTTGCCCAGCTTCAGAGAGTTCACAAGGCCAGAGGGTAGGTACATGTTCTTTATATTCTCATCCTTTCTCTTTTTGTTGGGTCCCTTGGGTAAAACCAACACAAGAAAATGCAAAAGACGAAGTACAACAACAGACCATTGCCATTAAAAAGTGAATTTGTTTCTTTTGTGCTGAGCTGAAATTAGCAGCATGTCTGCTATCATGAGGTCAGTTTTATTTTTTTCTGTATAAGAAGTTTATAAACAACTTGATCTCAGATCCCAGCAAACTGACCAATTTATTAAAGTCATATAATACAGTCCAATTAGAATGTGACCCAACAGTCTAATTGTTTAACACAATGGGTTACATATGAAGACACTTTTCATTTTCGGTCTCTATCTCTAAATAATAGATTAACCATAATTAACTTTGTCTTTTGGTTGCATTTCTCTGGTCACGCCCAGGCTTGATTACTGCCAGGCTGTTAAACCAGGGAATCACCTAAATCTCAGACTTTAAGTAAAAAGACAAAGTAACTTCTGGACAGGTCACCAGTCCAGGAGTCATACCTAAGCGCAACTTCAGCACATTAGCTTAGCAGTGGAAGGAGGTCAGAGTACCAGGAGAGGATGTACAAATGAGGTCAGGTTGTTGTAAGGGAACAGTGCAACAAACTGCACCACTATGAAGCCCAATGATAACATTAAGAAGACTAGAGGATCCCTGAAAGAACCATTTGACCAGTTGTTAGTAATCACAAGTTCCCAAAGAGTAGAATAATCTGCTTCAACAGTTTATGTTTAAAATAGGTTCCTGGGCCTTTTCACAATCCATGACTACATCTTATCCGGTGTAAATACTAACTCTGGCTGCCCTTTATCTTAGAGTCAGTGCCATGCTGTCTTAATAGAACTAACCACTGTAATCATTTGCAGACGGTGACAGCTGACAAGCATCTACTGGCCTGCATGCAGTGCCTGTCACAGACACTCTCATGCAGAGGGTCTCAGAAAATTAAGCTCCTGTCATCTTTCATAAGCTCCACATTGGGGTGTAAAGGACTCAAAGCATTTTAGTTGAGGAGTGGTACTGAAAAGCTTCAAACTCTCTTTGACCCTCTTAGTATACAGCAAACATAGACCCTGGCAATCGTTCAGTGTATCATATGGTACAAGTGTGACAAAACTATCCCAGAGTCCTTATGAGGATTTAGGTCTTCAAAGCATTTGTTTTCTCCTTTATTGTCTCCAACAGAAATAGTTTTCCTGAGGACAACAGTTCGGGCTTATGGATCGTACCACTTAGATACTTATGACGTCAGGTTTGAAATTCTCGAGGGCAACATTGAGAACGCCTTTGACATCATCAAGCGGCTGGAGAATGGACTGTATGTGGGTGAGTAGATTCATATAAAAGCAATTTTGTTACGTAACATTTACCACTAGAAACAGCACTCAGCTTTTCTTAAAGGATGCAGTATTAGTTGCTTGATGACGTACGGGTACAGGAAACTATCTTGAGCAATAATTAATAGCCATTGGACCAATGACCTCCATTTATTTCATAAATATGTAGTCAGTCTCATTTACTTTAATGCAAAAGTACCCAGAAAAGTCAAATTTAGTCAGCAATAATTGTTCTCTTTTGCTTTAATCACTGTATATATATATATATATATATATATATATATATATATATATATATATATATATATATATATATATATATATATATATATATATATATATATATATATATATATATATATATATATATATATATATATATATATACATGTTTATATATGTTCACATATATATATATATATATATATATATATATATATATATATATATGTGTATATATGTTCACATATATATATATATATATATATATATATATATATATATATATATATGTGTATATATGTTCACATATATATATATATATATATATATATATGTATATATATATATATGTATGTATATATATGTATATATACGTATGTATATATACATATATACATACGTATATATATATATATATATATATATATATATATATATACATACGTATATATATGTATATATACGTATGTATATATATGTATATATACGTATGTATATATATGTATATATACATACGTATATATATATATATATATATATATATATATATATATATATATATATATATATATATATATATTTATACGTATGTATATATATGTATATATATATATATGTATAGTTCAAATTTGCAATTTCCTTCCCTTATACAGGGGACAGAGCTGACATGTCGGTAGCTTTCATCAGATGAATACAAGTTTGAACCTTTGTTCTGAAAATACTGTGGAGAATTGTTTTGTCTTAGCAGGGGAATGGAAACTTAACAGAGTTAATAAGACGGTGAATGGAGAAAATCTACAAAATTATCCAGATAGAATACATGTTAAAGTTTGTGATGTTGTCGGCTTCAACTGTTCAACAGTTTATTAATAACACAGAGAGACGTGTGAGTTGCTTTGTTGTCCTGAAATGTTATCATAACTTTGTAATTGTTAATAGACTGCAACCCTGCAGTATCATTCCTGGATCGCATTTAGAATGAGCTGAAAATGCAATCTAAGAAGATGTGTCATAATAATTGTTTCTTTTGGTAAATGGCTTTTCCATCCTGTATTTCTCGTTTTAACCGAAGGCCCCTATAGCGCTAAATGGGTTGTCAACACGGAGATGAGGGTGCTTTCAGCGTGGGTTTTTTTTGTTAAAATGTATGTCGTTTCCGTGCTTATTTGCAGACAGGGATGGTTGTGCAAAGACAGTTTCTTTTTTTTTTATGGATGCACATGTTAGATGTCACATCTGCCTTTACATAATAAGAGAAGATGAGGAGGAACAGCATCATATGTGGAGAAAGAAAAATGTGTATGTCACCAGTTAATGCTGGATTATGAGCACACTAATCTCTTTCTCACTTGTGAACTTGTAGAAACAGATGTGTGCTTATCAAACACGCCCAAATTCACAAAGAGAGGTTTGAGAAAAATTCTATCTGGGGTTATAATTCATACAGATCAGAGTAGATTTTATAATTGCATGCACTTACTTTAAATAACATGCTTTGCTGGAAAATTGTGTGATTCAGCATCAGTAATGACCTATGCATTTGTGTGTGTGTGCAGAGCAGATCTTGGTTAATTCCCTGTTTATATTAGTTGTCATTTTTATAGACAATAAGTTTGTGTGCACTTGAAGGAATGCAAATAAAACAGCAGAGAGCATAAGAGACACAAACTGAGACAGTAAGACAATGAGAGAATGAGGAGAAAATATATATGCAGAAGTAATCCTGCCCTCTGCGCTTCATGTGGTTAAATGTATTGTTCCATTTCTTCACAACAGACCTCAGTGTCTCGCCGAGCATTAGAGCACTTAAACCGACAACCACATCAAAGGCCTGTTTTGTAGGAGACGTTATTCTCCCAAACCCATCGGTTGCTTATTGGATGCAGCTTAATCCATCTTAGCAGCAGTTTGCTCATCACATATTTAGGTCGAACCTTACCACCCACCTCCGTTCCACATGACCTAAGGTCACTGACTGCATGCTGTGAAAAATGGCTTTCATGGTGTGATAAATATGCTTTTTTTAATTATTTGTGCAGCTAGTCCTTTGGGTTTCAGTTGTTAGAGTTGCACAATGTATGAGACCAAGCGATTTGTCACATAAGGAAGCTTGGTTTCCATTGTCTTCTGTGACTATCAGTTGTATAACGGGTTGGTGGGAAGTGAACAAGCAGCAGACATTCAGGCTCCAATCAAGAACGTGTGTCAGCTGAAACTACCGTTGGTCATAAATTTTTTGCTTTTTTTTGAGATACTGAAAGTGACAAACAAGGAAATGAGCAATCCGAAATATCTAAGACCAGCTTAAAAGTGAATTTTGTAAGAATATTTGATCGAAAGATCCAACTTTTTCATTTATATATACATATATAATATAATATATACATATTTATAAATGTGTATACATTTTATTGTCTTTGATACATTGAAATGTATCATTTACCATCACTACTTTCCCATTTTTACTTGTTAAGGCGAGCTCAAACAGAATTTAGATAGTTTTTCTTTTTATTAGTGAAATACTGTCTTTCTTTAACCTATGCAAAGGATGCCTATGGACACGTTTAATTAACTTGAATCAGACAGCTCTGTTAATTCTTTCACTGTGTATAAATCCACTGTAGAGACAATTGGAGGACAAATGTAAAATCAAATAGTCAACCTGCTTAGTCATTCTCTGGATTTCCCTGAATAACTCCTTTACATTAGTGATTGTCATGGGAGGACTTCACTGAGCCATTAATCTTTTCTGTGAGAGAAAAAAGTTTTTATTATGCAGTCCTTTTTTAATCTTACTGGAAACAGCACATAATATAGAGCTCTTTCTTCATGAGACTCATTCATCATCTGGAAAAACTGTACGTTTAAGATGGCAATGCTAAATTCTGGTCATTTTTCATATGCTGGTGTAAATATGACTATGTGGCTAACTTAAACTCCTCTGGCGTAGACGGAGAGCTGAAAGCAAGTTTGATGAATAAAGAGAAGAAGGAGTTTGTCTCTTTACAGGTAGTCATGGCAAGGTCCAGCCAACGGTAGCTGGTGGAATGTAAGCTCTTAGTGTGAGACGTGACTACTTCTAACCTACTGGAGCTTTTGGCTTTGACTTGTGTTGGCATGAAGCTGGGGAAAGCCATGGAGATAAGCAGACAGTTAACTGCTATGCTCTTAGTGGTTGATGAATCCTGACAAGGCTGCTAAGGGTCCACCAGAGAGCGCCAACCCCTTGAGGAATACTTGTTCTAAAGATTTATAGAGGTATTCAAAAGCAATGTCTTCTCCAACCACCCATTCCACAGTTGAAGACGCAGTGGTCCCCTTCGGGTGGTCGGCCACAGTCAAACTTACCCATAAACAAATAATGATGCAGAGACTTAATCACTGAAGGGACATACCACGTACACAGAATGAACGCAAAGTACATATTACTTGCAATAAAACTGTCTGCATAAGTCATCCTGATCCATTCAACATTCTTGTTTTATGGGATCTGTTTAATTTCAGCTCGTCGTTAAGTTCAAGCTCCAAACATTGAGTTCTTAGAAACATTTTGTTTTGTCTACTTAACTATCAAATCTACTAAATTGTTGGCGCTATTGCACACATTTATCACTTGACATTATGATTCTCAAAAGGAATCTGTTTATCAACCTTTTTTCAATGATTATGATTTAAAATCTCTAAGCACAATTTAAAATTTATTAATCTAACCTTTTCATTCAGGCTATTTATGCTCCTAAGCCAAGGCTTTTGGAAGAATGGATGTGATAAAGTTTACTCTAGTCAAATCGGACTAAAATCTAACCAATTGGCCCATATGTGAAACGGTATATAACTTTTCACCGCTCTCTTTTAACGCACTGCCCTTACATTGAAACATGAAACATAGTGGTGGCAGTATATATATATATATATATATATATATATATATATATATTAGGGATGGAACGGTTTATGAAAACCGTTCGATCCGTTTGTTAGACTGTCTCGGTTTGGTTCGCGTGTGTTGTGTTCGGTTCATGCGCTGCGCCTGTTTCTCATAGGCGAAGCGTTTTCACTCCAGAGCAGAAGGTGGCGGTACTGCGACCAAAGCCAACCACCAGTAGTAAACAAGAAGAAGAAGAAGCCAAGCAGCAAAGCAGGGTGTAGCAGAAAAAAATCAGTTGTTGTGGAGAATTGTGTGGGTATGGCGAGTGGGAAAGAACAGGAGTTGGAAGACGCGCTAGCAGCACTTTATAGGTCTGCTGTATGGGACGGAAAGAAAGTTGTGGATAAAAGTGCAACAGTGTGCAAGCATTGTGCAACACGTTTTGTTTATTCTAACAGCAACATGACCAACAATTCATGCTAACCCCTAAATCCCACATACTCCATCAGCGCTCCACTCCGCTTCGCCCCGCTGCGCTCAAGATAGCCTGCGCAAAGCAAAGCCTACAGCCTCCACTGTGGCTCCCGTCCGCTCCCCTCTGAGTTCCTTGGAGATCGTAGAGGGCATGCGCGAGATGATTAAATTCTAAGCAGGAAAACATGCGGAAATGATCCAGGGTTTCCGCGAATCATTAAAAATAATTACAATTCATTAATTTTTTTGGATTTTTTCATTAATTTCATAAAAAAAAAAAAATGTCATACATTTTTATAATTTTTATAAATTTTCTTATTTTTCGGTGTAACAATAAACATATACCGGACCGAACGCCACAGCTACAGTGATCCTAGAGATGCTTGGCTATAAGATAAACACCACAGGCCACAAAGCAGAGCCCC